TGAGAGCTTACAGTTGTTGGTTTGTCCGTCTTTATGTCTATGTGAAGGTTCGATGGTTTCCAGATATTTACTCAAGTTGAGTATCCCTTGGTGAATAAAATCGAAATATATACAGATGAAAGATGTAGGGAATGAGAAAATCTTTTTAGGTATTGAAACGTTTTTTCGGGTCATTTGGTCAAAGGTCAAGGCCACATACGATAAAATTTGACTGAAAATATAAAAAGAATTTGTTTCATGGGCATTACTTGAAGTACTCGTGTTGGATATTAATTTTTTTTTACATAAGTGGTAGATATTAGAAAAAGGACGTCGCTTGGAGAATGCTAAACTGTCTGTATATAGACTCTATAATTGAGGGTTTTGAGCAGTCCCTTCAATCGCGACATCTGATCGATAATATATTCTAAATTTAGATTGTACTTGTTCTTATCATGAATGAACTATTTGCCACTGGATGTTAAGCAACCGATACGCTATAACTAATTTATAACATACATGTACTCTTAAAAAAATTAAAAGAGTTTTTCTGAAATCTGTTATACCGAATCATTCTAATATCCCATATTCTGTAAAAAAAAATGAGCTCGATATTCTGTATTATTTGAGAGTTCTACTACAGTATTATATTTTTTGAAATAAGAGGAGACCAAAATAAAAGTGAGATCAAAATTAAAAAAAAAATATGACATCTGTTCTTTTACTTTTTTAGGAGGGAAAAGGGGGGGGGGGTTGTCTTGTGTTCCATTTGAAAAAAAACTGTGTAAAATAAAGTTGGAAATTGCCAAATACTATAATTTACAAAGATGATGCCAAGCGGGTCTACCAAAATCACGAGTCGATGAAAGATATACAACACCATGACGAAAGGAGAAAATGGAATATTTAGCTTCAGGAACCCCAATAAAACCTGGAATGAACTCAAGTGCTCTTGTGTGGTAGGCAATCCCTCTTGCACCAGTAACACATGTTGAAATTCGATGCTAAGTCATTGTCGGTGATAAGCAGAGACGGATTCAGGGGAGTATGCCCGTTCCCCCTTATTAAGCCACATATATGGTAAATGCATCGACTTTTACCATGTCTAACTCCTAACGTTGCCTAGTTTGGGCCCCTTTCCCAAAATCCTCGATCTGCGTCTGATGAAGCATCATAAAATAGCTGATTGATGGATGTCTCTTTTCTATAATCACCAGACATCAACAAATTATTGCATATAAAAATAATGAGGACCAAAATGTGAAACAATTAATCAAGGGTTGCCCAAAGTCGGGAGCATACATAGCCGTCGCTTTGTCCGCCCGTCCGTCTAGCCGTCTAATGGTTTTTATACGACCGCAAAAATTTTTGCGGTCGTATATTGGTATGACGTTGGCGTCGTCGTCGTCGTCGTTGTCGTCGTGGTCCGGCGTCGTCCTGCGTCGTCCGAAGACACATTGGTTTTCGCACTCTAACTTTAGTTTAAGGAAATGGATCTCTATGAAATTTTACCATAAGGTTCAATACCACAAAAGGAAGGTTGGGATTGATTTTGGGGGTTATGGTACCAACAGTTAAGGAATTAGGGGCCAAAAAGGGGCCAAAAATAAGCATTTTTGTAACTTCCAGACATAACTTGTGTATTAGTGTATGGATCTCTCTGACATTGTACCACAAGGTTCCATATCACAAAGGGAATGCTGGGATTGATTTTGGGGGTAATTGCCTCAAAATATTAGGAATTAGGGGCCAAAAAAGGGGCAAAAAAACAAGCATTTTTCTAGTTTCATGACAATAACTTGTGTAAAAGTGTATGGATCTTTCTGAAATTGTACTACAAGGTTCCATATCACAAAGGGAAAGCTGGAATTGAGTTTGGGGGTAATTGCCTGAAACGTTTAGGAATAAGGGGCCAAAAAGGGGCCAAAAATAAGCATTTTTCTAGTTTCCAGACAATAACTTGTGTTCAAGTGTATGGATCTCTCTGAAATTGTACCACAAGGTTCCATATCACACGGGAAATGCTGAGATTGATTTTGGGGGTAATTGCCTCAAAATTGTAGGAATTAGGGGCCAAAAAAGGGGCAAAAAACAAGCATTTTTCTAGTTTCATGACAATAACTTGTGTGTAAGTGTTTGGATATTTCTGAAATTGTACTACAAGGTTCCATATCACAAAAGGAAAGCTGGAATTGAGTTTGGGGGTACTTGCCCGAAACGTTTAGGAATTGGGGGCCAAAAAGGGGCCAAAAAACACATTTTTCTAGTTTCCAGACAATAACTTGTGTTCAAGTGTATGGATCTCTCTGAAATTGTACTGCAAGGTACCATACCACAAAGGGAAGGCTGGGATTGAGATTGGGGGTGATGAATCATAAGGGGTTTCAAAAAATTTGGGGGGGGGGGGATTTTTTTTTTCTTTCTTTTTTTTCTTTTTTTCCTTTTTTTTTTCTTTTAAAATTTTCCATTTTAAGTTGGTTATTTCTGATTTATATTTAAAAGCAAATAATAATGATATGGTAGGAGATACACACCAAACAGGATGTGTAAATTATTATATAATAAGTATTGTGCAATAGCAAGAAATTTTCAATTGCACAGTATAGCACAATAGCAAGAAATCTTCAATTGCACAGTATTGCGCAATAGCAAGAAATCTTCAATTGCACAGTATTGCGCAATAGCAAGAAATATCCAATAGCACAATATTGCGCAATAGCAAGAAATTGTCAATTGTGCAGTATTGCGCAATAGCAAGAAATATTCAATTGCACAGTATTGTGCAAAAGAAGATACTTCGTATAAATTGCTTATTTCTTGACCAATTTCAATGGGGTTTTATTCTTGAATTCTTGGGGTTCTTTAATATGCTGAATCTAACCGTGTATTAAGTTTTTGGATTTTGGGCCCCGTTTTTAAATTGGTCCACATTGAGGTCCAAAGGGTCCAAAATTAAACTTTGTTTGATTTCATCAAAAATTGAATTATTGGGGTTCTTTGATATGCCGAATCTAACCGTGTATTTAGATTCTTAATTTTTGGTTCCGTTTTCAAATTGGTCTACATTAAGGTCCAAAGGGTCCAAAATTTAACTAAGTTTGATTTTAACAAAAATTGAATTCTTAGGGTTCTTTGATATGCTGAATCTAAACATGTATTTAGATTTTTGATTATGGGCCCAGTTTTCAAGTTGGTCCAAATCGGGGACCAAAATTAAACTTTGTTTGATTTCAACAAAAATTGAATATATGGGGTTCTTTGATATGCTGAATCTAACCATGTATTTAGATTTTTGATTTTTGGGCCCCGTTATCAAATTGGTTCATATTGAGGTCAAAAGGGTCCAAAATTAAACTTTGTTTGATTTCATCAAAAATTGAATTATTGGGGAACTTTGATATTCCAAATCTAACCGTGTATTTAGATTTTTAATTTTGGTCCCGTTTTTTAGATTGGTCTACATTAAGGTCCGAAGGGTCCAAAATTAAACTTAGTTTGATTTTAACAAAAAATTAATTCTTGGGGTTCTTTGATATGCTGAATCTAAACATGTGTTTAGATTTTTGATTATGGGCCCAGTTTTCAAGTTTATCCAAGTTGGGGTCCAAAATTAAACTTTGTTTAATTTCAACAAAAATTGAATATATGGGGTTCTTTGATATGCTGAATCTAACCATGTATTTTGATTTTGGACATTGGACCATAATAGGTAAATTAAAAAAATTCAAGTTCTTAGACACATTCTTTCTGTGTCAGAAACCTATGCTGTGTCAAATATTTAATCATAATCCAAATTCAGAGCTGTATCAAGCTTGAATGTTGTGTCCATACTTGCCCCAACTGTTCAGGGTTCGACCTCTGCGGTCGTATCAAGCTGCGCCCAGCGAAGCATTTTATTGGATATCAAATTTATATATGGTCCCTTGATTGGTGCTACTAAAAAATGTGTGGAGGAAAATTGGTTTTCTGATGATAATTTGAGTTTCCTTTGTTGGATTAAATTTAGATTGATGTAGATGGAAGATACAGAGAAAGAGGAAACCTCTGTTGATTTTAAGGTCAATTTGGCAAAGATCAAGGTCATATAGTTTTGAAAAATAGACTGCAAATAGATAAGTCTCAGGTGCAATTTGTTATTTCTTGGTGTTAACTAAAGGTTAACTTGATGGATTTAAATAAAACTTACCTTATTAGTACATAGTAGGAAAGGACAAAGCCTATTGATTTTGAGATCAATTGAATAAGGTCAAGGTCACAGTTACAAAAATATACATTGTACGATATTCTTCAAATTCTTGGTTTTGGACAAGCATCTCTTAATATGTAATGTATTTCATGAATAATTATATTAGGAATATAAATCAGTGACAATGGAACCCATGGATACACTCCTTTTTTTTTTAGGAAAAGGGAGTTCTGTATGTCGTGGCTTTCGAGCAAGCGTTATAGATTGAAATTCACCAGAATCTTTATTTTTAGATGATATTTCATGATATATATTTCTTTTCATCAATAGTATATGGGATTCCCCCTTCCGACCTGATGGTTAGCCATATATAAAAAATATAAGAGAATGCGTCAAAAAAGCTAAATTTAGTATAATGAAGGATCTTGTGTCTGCTTTTTAGAATAGCTCACTTTTTGTCAAAATATACGAATAGGCACTCGGCGTGATTTTGCACTATAGAATCATGTACCGCTTTGATTTCTGAAACTTTTAACTGATACTAAACTAAACCAAAGTTTTTTAAAACGTTAAATGTAAGTCGTGGTGAGTGAAATTATCGAATATTTTGTTGCATATTGTACTTAGATAATTTATATTGCAATGATGCTAACGTCCAGCAACAAATATTTCATATGTGGCGATATAAAGTTGAGATCGATAAGAATATACCATGCTTTGTACTCACGCTCAGTACGGGCTTTACACCGTTAGTTCCACCAGGAAGATTGATTGCACGATTGATTTTTTATTTTTGCTTTTCTAATGTTTATTTTTTTCTTTGCAGTTATTAAAGTGACCCTTTTCAAGACAATTTATACAGAATAAAGGGGAAGATCACCTCCATATGGTTAGTTTAATTATATGGTTTTGCAATTATCAAGCAATATGGTTGGACACAAGTTATTACAACTTATATTAAGCCCTTTTCTTACATATACAATACACATATATGATGACAGCAAACACATAAATGACATAGCTTCAGTTGTAGAAAATAGAGTAAGGAGTCGCACATTGGCATGGGAACATAAAAAAAAGAATAAACTAAAACAGAAGCAAAGAAGACAGAAAAGGTTGATGATGATGATGGATGGCTGCTTAACGTCGAGCGTCACATTAATATGCATATTCAGGACGAGAACATGTTAATGTAATATGGATATTAATTCTGCTGTATACTAGACCGACACGCTGAGCCGGATTTTTAACGTGATAGTTAAAAAGGTAACAATCCGCAGGAAGACATGCCATCTTACCCAGACACATTATTCTGACTCCGAGCCGATCAGTCTTTGCTCTTACTCCTTAATGCCGCGTGTTGAGCGGAGAAGCAGCAAACACCAATTTTAAAGTCTTTGGTTTGACCTGGCCGGGGTTCGAACCCACAACCTCCCGAACTCGAGGCGAACAAGCTACCACGTGACCACCGTGGTGGTAGACAGAAATGAAGAAAAAAAGACAAACAGACAACTTGCTGACTTGGAATGTTAAAATATTTTAGACGGTTTAAGGAAACAACGAACTTCATCAAACATCTTAGAGTCAATTTTGTAATTATATGCATCTTTTCAAAACAATAGCGTTTCGATGTCAATGTGTATGTTCATATTTATAAGATCATTAACCAGACATATTCTTTGATTATCAAATAGTTGGCATTCTAGTAAGTAATGGATGGTATCTTCAACAGGTGAATCACAGGAGCATTTAGTATCATTAACTATATGTATCTTATTCAAGCCAGCATTTAGGGAACTGCATTGGTGCCTTAGCCTAGTTGTTTAATACTTAAACGTACGAAGTAAATAGCCCAAAGCAGTTACATGTATGTAAAGCTGAATTGTTGTAAAGGCAAACATCTAGAACTAGCAGACACGTTTTTTTTTCTTTGTACATTTCTGAAGACATTGATGTATATCAGTGGCTGATCCAGAAAAATTTTAAATCTCACGTTGCTTGTGGTTTATTATAATTTTTAGCATAAACTGGTCCAAAAATGGTTAGATCGATATATCTTCAGTTTATGAATTATGCTCTCTTTTAAAAACTAGGATCCGCCACTGGATATGACATCAACGGAGGATTCGGGGGCGTCAAAGGCGTAACCTTTGACAGTGGGTCTCATTGGGGTGTAAGCGTGATGTGGGATTTGCCAATATTGTGTAAGCGTGGCTCGTGAAAGTCAAATTGTTCAGCGTGAAAACGGGACACGAAGTCGGGCGGGACACGTGATCCGGAATGAGAACCTCCCCATGAGACCCCCTTGATAGAATCGTCGAAAACCATTTGCTTCCGACTACGCTTAGTAAATTGTTACTATTATGAACAATTGCTTTTCTCTTTCCTCACACCCTGGATAAGCCCCTGGTTTTTTTTTTTGGACGTTGGTAAATTTCATCTCATTGCAAACCTCACCAAATCTCTTTATTTTTATTCTGATAACTATGTTCATGTATAATTTCTTTTGTTCATGCAGGAGGATGACCAATATCATTAAAGAATATTTAGCACAGAATCTGCGGAAACCTGGAAGTGGCTTCTTTGGTTGGTATGTTACGAAGGTAAATATTTGTCTTATATATTGCAGCTGTGCTATTTGCGCAGTCAAATTGCATTGACCCGTATAATCATTTGTGTTTATGACGTTGACAATGCGTTCCCGTAGCGTTTTAAATATGACGTCGTTAAAAGTACAGGTTCGCGGACTCTTTACGTCGTTCGCTCCAAATTAAAAAAATGATGGTTTTTACCCTAAATATTTCTTTTGGAACAGTTGTAGGAGTTGCAGTATATAAGCCTCGCTTTTTACCTGCTTCTAAGCCTTGTACAAATAAAATTTATATATCGAGACAATGTATGGTTATTGTCGTTATTCTATATTTAATACATATACACCAGATTGCTGGACTAGAAATCAACAGTACCACAATATGGAACGGAATCGGGTTGCTTTGTAACTGCTTCCGGTTTTAACACGGATACTAATGAATTATTATCAAGCTTCGAAATTTAATGAATAATTATGAAAATAAGAAGATGTGATATAATTGGCAATGAGACAACTCTCCACCAGTATGTGATTAGGTCAGTTTATGGGGAATCACTAGTGGTAGGTCAATGATATTTGGTATGCAGTTGTATAAGCATTGGCACATCTCATTTCCATGGAGATTATTTGGCCCTGCCCCCTCAGTCATAGTCTATTGCATTTAAAACTTTGGGTTAGTTTACATATATTAGTTTGTGATTAGATCAGTTTAAGATGAACCGCTAATGTTAAGTCAATGCTATTAGGTATGCAAATGTATTGGCATTTGCAAGTCTCGTTTCCGGCATGGAGATTATATAGCCCCACCCCTCATCTTGGTTCATTGACTTTGAAACTTTTACATAGTTTACAAGTTAATGTTTGTGTTTAGGTTTGTTTAAAGGGAATGACTTATGATAAGTCAATGGTATTTGGTATGCAGTTGTATTAGCATTTGCATATCTCGTTTCCATGGAGATTGTTTAGCCATGTACCTTCAGTCATGGTTCATTGACTTTGAATATTTGCATAACTTACATGTTAAAATATTGCTATTTCAATTTCAACATTTGCATTATCAACAAAAAAGGCGAGACATATCTGTGTGTTAACAGTTTATCTGTTTTTATAAAACTTTTTACATTTTTTGTAAAACCCCGAATTCAGACAAAATATCAAAATTGTATACACGTAACGGTAGCCGTGCGGTTTGGACATGCTTACAATGTTTATCTTAGCATATTTCTTATGACTGTAAGCTTGGTAAAACGAAATTCCTTTTTAAAAAAATGCTGAAACTTTAAAAGATCCGTCAAACGTCAACAATGTTATACAAAGCGGAGTTGATATGGAAACCATATTGGTAGATTCAAATTTAATTTGTCCCTAGACAATAATTATATACCACCACCCCAGATGTTTTTTTTTTATTCTTGTGTGCAATATCTTTATATATTTAAGCTGCATCGGGGCCTCATGGTAGCTTGCTCTCTTCAAATGCGGCGGTTCTTGGGTTCGACCACCAACGCTGTCAAACCAAAGATTTAAATTTAACATTTACTGCTTCTCCGCTACGCGAATGGCATTAAAAAGTAATGATTGGTCGGCAATATGCCCGAGGATTGCATCATGTCTTTCTGCGGACTAATGCCTTATATGATCTGGCACGTTGAAACCGACTCAGTATGTATGTCTAGTACAAAGCAGTGTGTTTCTTTATGACACGAAGATGTCATCGCGGTCAGTGTGTTTGTAACATTTGCCGCTGGACGTTTATAGTAAAGTCAAACTAAAGTGTCAGTTTAATGTGCATATTTTTATAGATTGTGGTAAAGTTTCTTACTTGTACATATTTGATTTTCGAGTTTATTTTCTGCTTAAACCAATCTGTTGACTGAAGTCATTTCCAACTGATCTTTTCCGTTTGTTCTTATGTTGTGCTATTAAATGTATGTTCTAGCTAGGTTAGCGGAGGGTTAGGCGCTTTATGTGCCTATCCCATGGCAAGGAGCCAGTGTAATTCAGTGGTTCTCGTTGGTTCATGTCTGTCATATTTATTTTACGTTAAATGTATTGTAATAAGTTCAGCCGTTAGTTTTCTCGTTTGATCTGTTTCACGTTTATTATGCTAAGACCTATTAAGGCGACTATACTTTATGAGTTTTAGGGCATTGTTGAAGGTTTTACGGTTGCTTACGTCTATACGTTATTTGGACCTGTTGGATATATGTCTCATTGGCAGCCGCGTACCATTCTCATTATTGTTTATCTATTTTAAAATTTTCCCAGTGTGCACATACTTGATTATTTAAAAAGACTTTGTAGGCTAACACAGCTTTGATCATCGGCCGACTAAATAAGAGTTTTAAAAGTTGCATGTACATAGAATATAACGGAAACTGTGATATCAAATAATTTCCACTTTTCAGTCGAATCAGTTGTTAATTTTTCAATCCTAAGGATGATGGAATGATTGATGATTGGCCGTTTCAGAATCTTAAGAACTATGGGTAATTTAATTGTTCGTACCCCAAGATGAAAATAACGCCACGTCATTGGTTGACTGATTTCCATTGTTTATGATATTTAAAACCAATCACAACGTCTTGGTGTACACTTTTTGAGAATATTACCCAGAATGCATTAGATTCTGAAACGGCGAATTATTTTGCGTCGCATCAGCGTGAAAAGGCTAAATTCTGTTTCGAAACGATATTAAGAGAGTGTATACGTTTGATTATTTGATTGATTGATTGGTTGGTGTTTAACGCTACTATCAGCACTATTGGTTATTTCGTGGCGGTCGGGTTTTTTTTCTCTTTTTTATAGAGGAAGCCGGAGTGCTCAGTAAGAACCATCGACCTTCCACAGGAAAACTGACAATCCTCAGTGTTTAAGGCTAGTGATATAGTAGTTTAACAACTTAGACCATTTTTCATCCCAGGTTCCTTTTTTTCCGTTATACGTTTGAGAATTAAATGCTGAAAATAACTACTAAGACATTGTATATTTTGTTGGTGTGTTTTTTCCGGTTCGGAAATGCGTGGTCCGAAACATATTTTGTATACGTTCAACAGATATAAATGTTGAAAATAACTTCTAAGACATTGTATATTTTGTTGGTGTGTTTTTTCCGGTTCGGAAATGCGCGGACCGAAACATATTTTGTGTACGTTCAACAGATAAAAATCCTCAAACCTTCAAAAAATGCATCCTGCAGTTTTTGTAATTACAATAGTGTCGTACACAGGTTATCTTATAAAAAGTTTTAGCAAACGCTATCCATGGGTCTCAACTTATGTGTAGGTTGGTTTTTACCAGATGTATTTTTTACATGCATACGATGTATGTTTACAAGAATTATCGTTAATTCATCCGGTAATGAAAAGTAAATTTTTAATCTTAACATCTTTACACCAATTGCATCAACAACTTTGTTTGTAAATATTATTTCAAATTCAGAATATATTTTTGAGACGAAATGTGATTTTAGAAGAAAATGCTGTAAAATTGTGTCAGATTGAACCCCACTACAATGTTTTAGAGGTTGGGTTTGGACCAGGAGTAGGACTTAAAACTGCATGTAAATCTGTGACAGGTAAGACGATTTTCACGAGGGTCTTGATTAGGGTCCTTTATTTCTTTATTCTTTAACTTTTTAGACATGCATAGTTATAGGAACATTAAAAAGTCGAATATGTCAAACACACGGACATAGGACTTTTTTTAACACTATTTCATAACGGATGCATGTTGAAACAAATTAAAGTAAAATAAAAAGTAACTCAAAGACAAATATACTAACAAACAGCACAAACATCTGAAACTCCTATAAACAATTGGCAGTACTAACAGTTGCCTCGGAAGGATTTGGATAATATCTTATCCATAGGCAACCAGCGCAGAGCGTCTTTACGGTTACAGGAAAGGCTATATGCATGGGCAGCCAATCTGCACGCCTTTAAGGTAACAGGAAAGGCTAAGGTCAGCCAATCAACACGTCTTTAAGGTAACAGGAAAGGAAATGGGCTCCCAACCAGTGCGTCATTAGGGTAACAGGAAATGCTTTTGTCAGCCAACCAGTGCGTCATTAAGGTAACAGGAAGAAAGGCTATTGGCAGCCAACCAGCACGTCCTTAAGGTAACAGGAAAGGAAATTGGCAATCTTTTTGAAATTTCACATGCAACTAGAGCATGTGAAACTGTAACTGAACATAACCACACACACTTGTCTCTGAAAAAAAAAGAAAACACATATATATCTTATTATAAGATGGTTTGGATGGGTTTCCTTAATAGATAATAATCGGCCAATACTACAGAAAAAAGGGTAAAAAAATAAAAAATAATGATAAATAGGTCGAAATGGTAAAAAATAGTGAATAAGTAGGTACTAAAATATAAAGTAAAAGAGAATTATGGGCAAACATATAAAGAATATAGAAAAATTACCAAAACATTTAAAGAATACAGAAATGAAGGACCCCATCCTATACGCATATAGCACGCTAATAAATGAGATACTTTCCAAAATAGAGTGTGTTGTAAGTTTGTCCAAAAAAGGTGTATGAATTGGATTTTGTCAAATTTCTCAGGCCCTTGATACCTGTTTTTCTTTTCCTTTTTGTTAGGTGTTTATTATTTCGTAAATAATCTTTATCATTTTTTACATAAAATGTAATGTGCTCTTGTTCTTATCCATACAATATTACAATAACAGTAGTTCATATTTTTAGTGTTAATATGTGATTTTTTTTTACTTCAGGTGGCAATGGTAAAATATATGGTGTAGACTTTTCCGATAAAATGATTTCATTGGCCAAAAGACGGCTAGCAAAGCAAATAAATGATGGAAAAGTTTGCATTCAAAAAGGAAATGTTCTTAATCTTCCTTTCGACAATGACACGTTTCACAGAGTGTTCCATTGTAATTGTTACTATTTTTGGCCTGATCTACAGGCTGGGTGTCGTGAACTTTACCGAGTTATGCGACCACATGCAAGAATGGTGACAACTATTCGAGTTGACTCTATCAAAGCGATCACTCAGAAAAATATTTTAAAATACGGTCAGACTTCAGATCATGTAGAATATATGAAAACATTAGAAAAGGTAGGATTTAAGAATGTGAGCATGCAAAATGTTGAGGACAGCGGGCAGACGTTTCAAGCTATATTTGCTGACGTTGACAAAACGTAATTCAAGTTCAAATAAAAATATGACGTCATTGATTTATTATGCTTTATTATGAATTAAGGATGTTTGCTCTTCTGTTCAAATAACATTTTTTTTAAAAGACAGTTATAGATTGATAGTATATAGATACCTGAGCCTAAAAAGCAGAAAACATTAATGGTCCGTGTCCTTGTTTTGAAGATATAAGCAATTGAAAATCTGGCGGGAAATGATTCTCTCTAGATGTTTCATACATTTAACATTGGCACCTTTTTTCTTTCAAAACTATGCAAAAAAAAACCATGGTATTTAAAACTATATGTCATAAAATTATAAAAAGAAAAGTAGGAGTTAGCGGGCAAAGTTGTTAATGGCACTATATGGATAATATTAAAGGATTTCGAATATCTGACAAAAGTCATGCAAGAACACAAGTAGCGAACATCCTTAAATTCAGATCAATATAAACATAAGGAGATGTGGTATGATTGCCAAAGTTCAAATAAATTGGATATAAGCAATTATAGGCAACCGTACGGCCTTCAACAATTACAAAAACCCATACCGCATAGTCGGCTGCAAAAGGCCCCGACATGAAAAGTATGATACAATTCAATTAAGAAAAATAACGGCCTAATTTATAACAAAACAATTTACGAAAAACAAATAGGACAGGCATGAATATACGACAACCACTGAACTACAGGCTCCTGACTTGGGACAGGCACATAAAGAATATGGCGGGATTAAGCATGTTTGTGAGCGCTCAACCCTTCCCTAACCTGGAACAGTGGTGTAACAGAACAACATAAGAACAACTATAAAAATCAGTTGAAAAAGGCTTAATTCATCAGATCGATACAAAGAAAAACTTCGAACAAAAACACAGACAGGACGTGGCAGGGTATATATCAATCCCTCATCCCTAACAACAACAAAAGACAATAGGTACAGATCTGAGAGTACTCGCAGTTACTGACAGCTAGTTCAAAGCCAATAGTTATTAATGAAAACTATTTAAAAAAATCATGTATCTAAGACTAAAATATCAATCGGTACACATCCAAAATCCAATGGATTTAGTGTAAAAACGTCATTAACAGTCGGAAAAAAAACATGACCTTGTACAATGCCAACATATGGGTATCAATAGTTTGTAGTACAACATGTACCGTGAAAGTTCATATGTGTAATATTTAGAATGGTTTTAATTTACTGATAACAAAATCAATATGTATCAGGTACAACCAAACTTGCAAACCAAATCTTTTTATCTATGGAAGAATTTAGTACAGGTTTTAAGTAATTTCGGGAAACGATATCCCTGACTTAATAATTTACCAGTAATATATACAGTACGCTCATTGAAATCCAAAACGTCACTACAGACACGGGTTTGGGATATAAAACACAGTAAGACGGTGCCAAAAGAACATCACCGTCCAAAAAAGGAAGATTACTTTGGGTAAATTTCAGCAGTATATTTAGATAATTCCTGATTATTTAACAAAAAAAACATATCATCAAGACGGTTAGTAATTGTTGTTTAATCTATCAGTTAAATGGAAATTATAAGTTCTTTATTGAGTTTGGCCATAAACTGTGATTCATAACAGTAAAGGAACAAGTCTGCTATTAAAGGGGCACAATTGGTGCCCATAGGAATACCTAACGTTGGACTATATCAACCAACTTTACGAATGCAAAAGAAACCTGTCATATTTCTGACTTGGTACAGGTATTTAACGAAGACAATGGTGCGTTTTAAACCTGTTTATAGCTAACTTAACCTCGCACTTGTAAGTAAAACAGTTGTATGTAGTTCCGTATTATTGGGTGAGCAACCCAAGTAGACATAAATAAGGACCCATGCGACCCATGCAGTAGCCAAACTCCGTAAACAGACATCAAACACAACTAACTAATAAATATCTAACAAACATACAGATAAATACTAGTATGACAAAGACGCTAACAAAAGATTGATTATTGGTTGCTTAACGTCCAGTGGCAAATATTTCATATTTCAGGACAATAACCGCCAACAAAAGAGTTATTGCAGTTGATAAACAAAGACGCCAACATTGATGGTACATACAGTAAATAATAACGTTATGTCGTACTAGAATAAACTTTCCTGATAAAGTACAAATTGAGTAAAATATAAATATAAGGGTAAACAAAATGAAAACAACACTGCAAAAACCTCCTGCTTAGGAATCGGACCTCTGGACCAACCTGCAGCAGGTAAAGTACTGTGTATTTCGGTTTTGAATATTTATTCCCCTTTTGTTATCCTCAATGACCTAGAAATATGCAAATTACCCTGATTTTACTTGAGAAAAATAACCAATAAATATTATGTGCAGTTTTCAAGAACAAAAGCAGTTATGTTTGGGAAATGTAATTTCTGACGTGTCTTAGAATGCTACAGGAATTAATTTGAGCAATAACCTCCCCCACTTTAGCAAATGGTCCATAATATTAAGTTAGATCGGGTGTATTATGTCATCTTGGATTGCAGAACACAATCTAGATCTTTAATGATATGTGCAAAGTCTGAGAGAGGAATGTAATTCATTTGTTAGACTTTCCACCAAAAAATAATTCCTTTCTTATTAACTTATTTGACCAAAACCCATACCGTATAGCAAGATATAAAAGGCCTGAAATGACACAATTTAAAATATCTCAAACGAGAAAACCAACAGGATGATTGTTTAGAAAACAATTAACGAAAAACAAACAACGACCAACGACAACCACTGAATTACAGGCTCCTGACATAGGACAGTAACATACAGAATGTGGCGGAGTTAACATGTTAGCGAGCGCCCAACATAATGACGAACTGGAAAAATCAGTCGAAACAGGCTTGATGTGTACTGATTGATATTTAAGTAGATGCATGGATTTTGTTATTAGTTGTTATTGGCTTTGAATTAGCTGTCAGTAACTGCGAGAAAAAAAGTACATGTTTAGCTACACATTTGTAAATGATAAGAAGAAACTGGGAGAAAAACGATTACAAATTACACTCGTTAACTATTTATTTACAGTACACATCTGTCTAAATAAAAATAAAAAGATGTGGTGTAATTCAATAAGACAACAATCCTCCAGAGACCAAATGCCGTATATCTATGTCAGCAACTATAGGTCAACTTATGGCTTTCTTTCACCAATGAGCAAAACCAATAACGTTACTGACAGCTAGTTCAAAGCCGATAACAACTAATAAAAAGACTATATATATGTATTATTTTTCGTTGTCATGTGAAGCCCGTATAGTCGGGGAGGGAAAAGAAATAAGCCTAGAATAGCACTAGATGTACTGTTGGATTTTTTTTAAAAGTTTTTTAAAAACGCCGAGAACATTAATGACGTCACAACTGATCCGAATGACATTCAAGGTGTAAATGCAGTTTTGAATTCAGAAATAACTGAAGAAGAGATGAGCAAGTGTATTAGAAAGCTACATGGCATGGTATTGGTTGCAAAAATTTGATATTTTTCATTTAAATGCAATATTTTTAATTTAATTGGTATATTTCTTCATCTAAATGCAATATTTTTGTATTTGAATGGTATATTTTTTCATTTAAATGCAATATTTTTTATTCAAATGGTATAATTTGTCATTCAAATGCAATATTTTTTATTTGAATGGTATAGTTTTTCATTTAAATACTACATTTTTTCATTTAAATGCAATATTTTTTATTCAAATGGTATAATTTGTCATTCAAATGCAATATTTTTTATTCAATTGGTATAGTAGTTTTTTATTTATATGCAATAATTGCATTATGGGAAATTCTTTGACGTCATAAGGTCAAATTTGCAACAACGTTTGTGATTGGTCGGTAATTGTTTGGATTTCTCCCCTTTCTTTCTAAACATGAGTGACAAAGAATTAAAAAACGCGTCAGAATATCGCCCCTCTAACTAAATCTGGCGTTCGTGCGAGTTCTGCACTGGCTGTTAAAATCTTCTGGTCCTAACTATTATTTCTATTGCAAAATTTCGATGGTCAAAACGTTCTGACCACAACTTTTCAAAAACTTTCATTATTTATGGATCTATATGCAAGTATACCCTTTTTTGGAATAGATTAGACACCGTTGGTTTTCCCGTTTGAATGGTTTTACACTAGTCATTTTTTGGGGCCCTTTATATCTTGTTGTTCGGTGTGAGCAAACTTTAAGACTACGTGTTGAAAACCGTACTTTGACCTATATAATGGTTTAAATTTACAAATTATGACTTGGATGGAGATTTGTCTCACTGGCACTCATACCACATCTTCTTATATCTGTATACAACGTAAACCAGACGTTTCTTAGATTGGTTTCTTTTTTTAATAAATCCTTTGCCGCGCGTTGTGTACTGATTGATACTTCAGTCTGGGAGAACAAGATTTATTTCAGTACTAGTTGTAATTAGCTTTGAGCAATCTTCCAGTAATTGCAAATACTCTTATGTCGGTGCTTTGTGTCTATTGTCTTAATGTTAGTTTTTTTTTTTTTGTGTGTCTCGTACTGATCTTTTGAGTTAATCTAATTGCAACTGATAAGTGCAGGTTGTTCTTTTATTGGACTGTTACACCACTGTCCAAGCTTCGGGATGGGTTGAGTGCTCACAAACATGTTGTTGTACTGTTACACTACTGTCCCAGGTTAGGGGGAGGATTGGGATCCCGCTATCATGTTTAACTCCGCCACATTCTGTATGTATGTGCTTGTCCCAAGTCAGGAGCCTGTAATTCAGTGGTTGCCGTTTGTTGCTGTGTTATACATATTTGTGTTTCGTTCATTTTATTGTACATTAATTCGGCCGTTAGTTTTCGTTTGAATTGTTTTACATTTGTGATTTCGGGGCCTTTTATAGCTGACTATGCGGTGTAGGCTTTGCTTATTGTCGAAGGCTGTACGGTGACTTATAGCTGTTGATTTCTGTGTAATTTGGAGAGTTGTCTCATTTGCAATCATACCACATCTTCGTTTTTATATTAACCCTGCCATCTTCTTTATTTGCCTGTCCCAGGTCAG